TCACTTGGAACCATTCTTACGCCAATGGACCTGTAGCTAGTGACGAGTGACTGTATTGTGACAAGTTCACTTGTTTTCGAATCGGAATCGAGCCCATACAGTTTCCGATTCCGAAATTGACCCGACATATTAACAGTATTTTGAATTTTCGATTTATCGCGGAATAATAAAGTGTTGAATGAACTCGAATTTAGTTTAACAAGGTTCTTGATTTAGGAAGAAATGGTGTATATATATATATCATTACAAGAAAAAAGAGTTGGCGACCACAACAATAGGTGAATGTATATGAAGAACAACAATGTTTCGTTTTGAGACCGATCATCATAACAGATGACGATATAATTTTCGCTTACGCATTCCTCATTTTACTCAACACAATAGAATCATTTTCAGAATGAAGATTATTACGAACATTCGAGAAGTAGGCCGGTATTACACTATATCATAAGTATTTGACACTAAACTAGTTGGATTGCTTTTAAGATAAAGCCCGAGGACGAGTTTCATTGAAAGGAAACCATAAAGAGGTCACATCGAGCTTGTGATATTTTCGATATTACTTCATTGTGAGTTCAATGTCATTTCTGACTTTTCTCTGCATATTTTTATTGAAGCGTCGTGAGTCTACGATCTCTTCACAACTTTTTTTCTGAAATATTTGCCAAAGGTTTCTCATTTAATTAACTAAACGACAATCGTTATAAATTCTTGCCAAGTCTGAAATAATCCCATTACAGCCAATGGTATTTGATGATTAATCGATGTTTGATTGAAACAAAGTGCTTGCTTTGTCAGCAACCTAAAATACCATAGCCTGAAATACGCAAGCATGAATATACGTTTTGTCAAAAAGTTATTTTAATTTTATCTCAGAATGTAGCCTCCGGTGGAAAAGATTAAATTAAATTGTACTGTAATATGATTATATGGTTTTGCTATGAATATAATATTGGGTGTTCGTTTCAGTATATCAGAAAGTTATAATATAAAATGAATAAAGAATGAGGCGCATATTTGGAATTCCTAATTCAATTGACCTAAATCCCATAAGCACTGCTTAGTTTACCCTTAAAAGCACTTCACACTCATAAGGAGCTAGTGGTGGGACGAATACCATGCTGAACTTTTCGAAGAATTGCTTCTTAGTCATTTAAATTGATCTGATTCGGTTTTATTCTACTTTCACCGGAGGCAATAAATTAAACGCTTTTTCCGTGACATAATCGCGATGGTGGGCGTGAATGACTGGTATTTTTCTCAATTCGGAGGAAATTGTCATAGACTTGAAAAACAAGGTGAACTATCTTTTCCTCTAGTTATTTTGTGACCAATTAGTGGTTTTAGTACAATTTCCAGACCAATTACTAGCATTTACCCTCGATGTAATAACGACGAAATATATCCACCCATGAAAATTTAACTTGGGCAACAAATACTTTTAACCGAAAATATCATCAAATTTATTTTTATTTTTTTACACACTTTAATGAGTGAATTTTTTCTAGTTTTTGTGACGTGAATTAATATGGTACGAAGAAACTGGAAACAACATCTTTCAAATTGAAGGACTCAATCTTAAATAACATAGAATTAAAGCTAGCGGTCAAAAAAGCCTTGCAAATGTAAGTGCGTAAATAGTCTAATTATCGTAATTATGAAACAAAACACCGAAAGTATTTGCACGTGGTGTAATGCTGAGTGCTAATTTTCACAATATAATTTCAAAGCCGCAAATCTCAAAAATGGTTTCCACAATTTAAAGAATTTCCTCTCTCTTTCAGTCTACGCTTCTTTGCCTAATTATGCATACAGTCACGTTAGACAATTTTGGTTGAAAAAGTTTCGTTTTCTGACGCATTAGATACGCTCGTCTTTGTATCATCTATTCTACGTATAGAGCAATCTATCAAACGGCAAAACAAATCATAAATCTTGCTGAAGTTCTGTCCGATACTCACTCTAGTAAATCTAGCTTGGGAAAATTCTGTCGACCATCTCAGTTTGAAAAAATAGCATGTTGAAAAGGTAATAAGATCCAAATTTAGACAAAGTGGGAGTGGAAAAATAATTACTACTCGGATTTTATTTTTTGAAATTTCTACTCCAATCAAAACTCTGATTCCAAACTTGTCAACATCAAATACGAAAATGTCTGTATATTTACCCTGAAAGGCGGAAGGATGGCCCCAAAGTGAAATGAAGTTTACTTGAGATATACATACTCCTTCTGAACATTATATTATTATAGATTGCTGTTCTATAGTTTAGATGTAATAGTGAAAAATAGGAGTGTGATTATCTGATTAAACATTCTCTTTCGTCCAAAAAAATAACTTGATGTTGAAATTGCGCTTTGTATACCACTGAATTGTTTCTATTTATGTACTTCAATTTTAAAAACGGGCACGAGTAATTACCCTGGCCTTTACTCTTAGGTCAAAAATAGTATTTAAATAAAATTTAAATCAATAAAAATTCAACATGGCAATCCAAAACGATTTGGATCCCGATGATTTAGTTAGAGGATGTCGACGGTAATTTAACGAAGCTATCCGCAAGAGGCAATGAAGAGCAATTGGAATCTAATTTTCATCCTACCCGATGGGTAGTCAGCTCGCCATCATGTGGATATGAAATTTATAAAAAAAATTGTAAACTCAAACTACTCCTCAAGGTAGAATAAAATAACCGCCTAACAGATTCGACATAATTTCGACAAGAAAGGCCTATTTGAAACAAAATAAGGATGTTTTAAAGTTTTTAAATCAATTAACTGAGTATAATGCGCAGGACTATGGAGCAAAGATATCGGCGATTGTTGGCCGTTGGTATCGTGGAACGAATATTGGCAAAAAACAATCGTGCATATCGTATCGGAAACTTTATTGTACACGAGTTGGACTTATGGATCGTTTTGAAGAGAAAGAGAAATACAAAGCACTTCGCAAAATAGCATTTCGTGCTGACCAATAGAAAATATGTCACTCAAATGTGGTGAAAAAAAAATACTTCACGCTATGTGTGCAGTAAAATTAAACACACTAAACCACGTTTTTTTACGTATTCGCTACAGTCATTTTTTGTCATTTTGGCGTGAACTTTATTAATTCCGAGTTTAGAAAAAAGAAGAAATATTGTTCCGAAAAAGACGACACCGAAGTCTAGAAAGCATGCAACCTTCTTGTCTGAGACGCAGTTGTGTGACATATGTATCCTTTTCAATAACAGGATTTAGAACTGCTTCGTTGCAATAGGACAATAAACATGAAACCAGTCCGCTTCGGGTACGAAATATTTCAATCTAGGTAGCAAGACGTCGCAGGGATCGTCAGATTTATTCTTGAATCAAGTATCATTAAATATTGAAACCTAAGAAATTTAAAAATCAAGTGCTATTCTGATCCAAAATAGAATTTTTCAAATTTAGACGTCTTCATTAAAGAACTTGTCACGACTCGATGCATTCTCATGGAATCCGTATTCACAAGAGTGGTGATATTATACGTTGATCCTCGTTTTAGTTTGTTACTTATCGATCTTTAGATCGGTAAGTATGTTGATAGGTATTTGTCTGTTAGTCTGTCTGGCTGTTAGATGCACGCGATATCTCACGAAGGCGTCGTTGAATCTGAATTTTGCATGTGCATTCATCATATCTCGAACCAGAAGTCTATTGATTTTGGATTAATTATGTCGTATATTTAGCGAGTTATTCATTAATTAGTGATGGGACACGCGGTGTCACTATAGAGTCATGAATCGAAACCGCAGTTTCGATCGATAAGTCTTCGGTCTCCGACCGATATTCTCGTTTTCTTTTTTGATACAGATTATGAAATCTAACTCGGTTTCAAACTGATGAATTAAGATGACGTTTATAAGCTTTGAAGCACAGGTTCCCAACCGCCGGTCCGCGAAGCTTTTTCACCGGTCTGCGAGAAATTTCATTTTGATTATTTTCTGCCGTCTCGATCGCTTTATCGAATACGAAGTTACGTTGGTTTAGTACACAATTTTTCTTCCGCCGTCATATTACTGTTTGATAAGTGCGGTAATAATCGCCCGGCAACGTCATAGCGCCGAGTAATCACACTTTTTGCGTTTTTGGTTCCGATTCATCGCGAAAGCGCTCCGTCAAATCTCGCAAGATTCAGAAACCTTTAAATAAGCATGCGTGCTTTTTCCGTTCTGCATGCTTTTTTTTATTAATATTACCACCCAAATAAACGGTTATGAATATTTATTCGTTTAAATCAAAAAACAGTCAAGAACAGTTTAATATTGCAGAGCTTTGCCTTGGCATCAAGCAAGATATGAACTTGTTGCGAGTTTGCAGGGGGTCACGAGACGCGCAAAAAAGCAGTTGATGCACAGCATGATTTTGACTCTGGTGCCAAGTTATAGCAACGACTTTATCATTGTAAAATAAATTCATTTTGTTTGGGGCGTCGATCAACTGCAGAGGGTTAATTAAAGCCTCATTTGCAATCCTATATTGAAAAAGAAACAGCAGCAAATTCTCGCTAGAGTTAATTGTGTTTGTATATGATTTGGCATGTACATGTTTTTTTTTATGCGAGGTATTTTCTGGGTGCCTTTTCACGCATAATGGGTGCATTGCATTTCATTACGCAAATATACGTGATTACCGTAGTATATGTTCCACCAATTTCAATTTTTGGCCTGACGATTATTTGATAGTTTTTCATCATGTGAAATAATTCTAAGTGTACCATTTTTATCAAGAAACATAGAGAGTGCCCGATATTACGCAAATATATGTCATTATTTTCTGTTCCACTCATCTCAATTTTTGCCGGTCCGCGAGTACATTTTATTCAATTTTACCGGTCCGCCAGGGTAGAAAAGTTAGGAACCATCCTATATGTGCTCCACTGTGCAAATTTGGTGCTTGAATATTTACCCACATCCCGCTCTCAACAAAGAACTCTCAGAAAAACATTCGCTTTATGACCCGAAAAAATGAACACAACTACTCCGATATAAAAGACATATAACTTTATATCTTTTAATAGCGAATGCCGGATTATATTTTGTGAATTACTCTTACATACTACATTGAAAACATAAAATTTTGCAGTGGGAAGAATTAACATAATTTGAAATTACAACAAAAGCAAGCTGTTAGCATTCACCAACACAATAAAGAAACATACACGCACAATTCGAATATAATTGCTAACATATTGAAAGTTGCTTTGAAACTATGTTGTATCGAAGTCAACTAGCATGAAAAGACTTCACGTGTACCAACATCTTGAGGAGGTCTGTAGTTGTCACAGAGACATGGGTTATCTTTTTCCTTTCCTATATGGAGATCGCGGAAAGCTTGCAACTGAAAAACAATGTAATAGTAAGAGATACTTTTCAAATTTCAAGGTCACTTTGTAAAGCATAATATACTGAGTGAGTATCGAAGGTTTTATCCGGACAATTCATTAGCACATAGGACTTGCGTTCGAAGGTTTTCCAATCTTCGGAAATGTTCAAACACACAAGCTCGCCACTTTCAACGGACATCATTAGATCCTGCTTTTCATTTCGAAAACACATTACCATTTTTATGCAAGACGCACCGTCGGTCCGGAAAACCAGGCAACATAATTTTGAATTCATAATTTTGCAAGGATGTCACAGCATTATGAGGATTTGATTTTTTGAATGATTCAATGTTTGGCTAAATTTATGAACTGAAAAAAACTTGTTATATAAAAGCGATATTACCTTGCATATAGGCTGCCAGCTAGGAATTCAGATAATTAATGCCTACTGAATACCAACGATAGCATAAAATTGAAACCAAACAAAAAATGCTGAAATAACATTTAAAATGTTACTGTACTCGGTGAAAATGGTAAAAAACAAAATGCGAAAGAGTTTATCTTCAAATCGTTCATGGTGATAATTACCTGTTCCTCCGATAAATCAACTGGAGTCTTGAACACAACCCATTGGACACATTCATTAAGAGGGGGTGTTGTTAGCGAGCCGGAATAATGAAAATAATTCTTGATATCTAAAATGTGAAAATTAGTTCATATAACTTGGTAGCCGCTAAAGAGTATGCGCTTTATAATCCATCCCAAATTTAGAATAACAGAGACAAATAGCATAGTATGTCGTTTTTATAATATGTTGCCAAACACGAGTTCAAAAACTTTCATGAAACGTAACGCCGTGGATTGCTACCGAGTTCAATCAACACGCGACGCAAAAATACTTACTTTCAGGCAACAGAATTCGTGGATCAAATTTTCGCTCCACATCGCGTTTGTCATCCTGCAAAATGGTTTAGATTTGATGAAAGATTGTTGACAACAAGAGCTTGCCAAAAGAAGTCCATTAAATAGCCTATACAAATTAGTGTATGCCGTATGGATCATGTAGTATTCGTTACTGACACAGTTATACGAGCTTGATCAATCAAAAATAATAAAAATCATTTGAAATAAGGACTGGATTTACGAAAAGCGGCGCGGCAATATAATAGCAAATTCATCGCGATTGCCTATTCTGGTACATCATCATCCTGTTGTAAATTATTTAGGAATTGTAAATTCACGCTGACCTGTAAAGGAACTTCTTTGATTTCTGAGAACAACTGTTTGTAGTTTGCGTTTTCCGCTTCGGATTTCTAGAATCAATAAGCCAGGTGAAGATACATAAATACCAATACACTGTACTCTACGCAGCACGCCACTTATACTGTCGTGTTCTGCAAATATGTACAGTGAAGCAGTATAGCACGCAACGTCATCGTTCGATCTAGTAGATTGTGCAAGCATAAAATGAAACTCCGTCCTAATTTCTAGAACCATCTTTGTATGGAATTCTGAATAAAAACCATACAAATGATGCCTCCGGCAATTCAAACCTGTAAAAATGCTCCCAATACGCACAGACCGTCAGGATGATTGAGCGATTCCACGAAAGATTCGTATTTCCCGGAGTTCCAATGGACAAGATGAACCTGAAAATATGACAGTATATCTAATAATAAGGAGATATGTAAACACCAAGCTTACTTCGCCTACGGCAGGAATAATATTGATATTATCCAGTATAATACTGATTCAAAAATGCCGGAACAGTTTTTGACCAATTTATATTGACGACGCAGGCTATCCAGGGGTGCACAAACTCCTACGATTCCCATTAAATTAAAAGTCATTCCAAGTTGACAATTTCAAAATCTTGTAACAATTTTGGTCCCAACTCGCTTTTGTTTCAATCTAAGGTTGGAAACATTTATAAGTAAACATTTCAACATAAACTCTGCACTTACTTCAGCTGCAAAACTCTTTCCGTCCAGTAAATGCTCTGATCCTCGTCTAGAATCTTCCCCCCAGTGGAAATGAAACTGTTCAAGTGTATATTGGCTGCTCAGTGGTCCGCCTGATAGAACTACATAAGAGAAAATATTGATAGCTACAAGATTTGTAATATATACCGGTATATAATATTTTGGCTTGTTATGGCAAATAATGTCAAAATACCCATATTTAAGCAGCTGATCTTGACCATCATATTGGTTATTACACTGTTGATATGTTGGTAGACGTACGTATCGTAAAAGTAATCCTAACTGACACCCAATTTCCGATGTGATTCACTTTGCTCACAGACTGTACGAAAGTGTCCTACCTGAAGCTCCGCCACTGGCGAAGAATGTCACAGAATGCCCATTGTTTACGACATTTTTCAAATCAGAAGGTTTGTAAGAAAGATTGAAATCTGGAAAATCTTTCACCTATAACAGAACAAAAGAGTTACAAAAACAGCAAGACTCTGCCCCGCCGCCCCAAACTCATGTCCGCTAACACTGAATATTGCACGCGATATTCAATACGCTTAAAATAGCAATAATATTAGAGCATTTCCAAATAATGGTGCCCAAAATAACAAATTGGACACTGCTATGAAAGACCGTTAGAAATATTTTGAAATATAAATTGGCATTTAACATTGAGCTCTGCAAGGCTATCAACCCATGACCTTTGAACAAGTCACGCCTGAATGAATTTATATTGTTGTTTTTGTAATGTACAAAATATTGTTATTTATGTTTGTGGCGAACTCAGCTATAGCAACGCAGCGGCTCCCGAAGCAGACTCTAGAATAGATATTATTATATATAGTACGTCATCGATGGCAAAACAATTACCTGTTCACTCAAGCGGGACTACCGCAGGGCTTTTGAACCAGGTTGTTCGAGTGCGATATGGTTGCTTCCCAGTCTACTGGTGTCAATTTTTAGTTAGTCTTCAAATGATTCAACATACCATATGCACGTGGATAAGTGAAACAGATGGCGATCGTCCCGTGTGTTTGTCTAGTAGTTATCTTATCTACCCCATGTACAACGTGAAGAATTACATACCGTTGCTGCGGAGCAGACAAGATCTATAGGCGATTGATTCTTCCCATTCGCAATTGGATACTGTTCATGCCATTTCTCTGGAGCTGAAGTGAAATTTTGCCGATTTTAAAATGTATTATTTGTATAGTATGCATATTATTTCTAGCAGTACTCACGCAGTTGTGAAGAAGCATATCCCCAAGCGTGTGACATCTTCGCTGTAGACCTAATATGTATTTGAGTAATACAGCGACTTGCTAGCCTGTTAACTAAAGATCTCATTGTTACGATAGCTGGACGGGCATTCAAAACCCATTGAAAACAAAGCGCGACCCACTGTTGCTTGTCAGCGACTTTCAATACAGCCGACTGCTGATTGTTGAATACTTTCCTTAATCAAACCGTTCGTTGGTACGTGGTGAACATAACGCGTGTTAGTCTATCCAGACTCTATCGGGTTGTTGCGTGTCGTGTGCACAAAGTGGCAGCCAAAGGCTAAGTTTTCACGCATAGCGTAGTTCCGATATATTTCAGTACTGTAAATTCAGAGTAACAATTCTTATAAGCTTGATTACCGGCACGATCAAATAACCATGTATATATTAAAGTTGTAAAGCCTTGTGGTATGATACAGAATCCCGCTACATCAACATTTTATTATTAGTATAATAGTTCAATTCTGACTGACTGGTACTGTCTCGATTATCGACATCCCCCTTTTAGATGCTTTGAGCCCCTCAACACGATTATGCCGTATATTTATTCAACATCGCACACGAAAACGAATCCTAATTGTAACGGAGCGCTGAATATAAATAACACGAAAGCTCTTTCTATTAATTCACCAAAAGGTTGCTAGTCACCGGTGGATAGACGTGGAGTCGAGGAAACAGGAAATAAGCTCTATCACCATGCAAAGTTTTCGATTTTTTCATATTGGGATTATATTATAGATAATGAGTTTCTTTTCACTACGAGACCGTGTTACGTAGGGTAATTTACTACCCTGTGTTTTGCGTAGCAAGGCATAATCCAGTACAACTTCAGTTTGATAATGCTACCCAATAAAATTATACGTTCGAATGCAAAACGGCAATTGTGCCTCGCGTATCCACATTATTGTCTACAAAATGGCCATTTGGAACGTTTTGCTGGATTGTTGTTGCGGTGACTTTCCCAGCATTTGAAGGTGGGTGTAGCCGCCAGATGGCTATAAATATCTTTTTCATTTTCTAAAATTTTCTCCGAGTCCGATATTTCACCCAAAATTACGCCTTTTATTTTAATTCGTGGTTACACTGAGACGTTGTTCCGTTTCGAGAGCTCCCTGTTCGGCGGTTTCGATTACTATGCGACAGGTCGTGTTCGTCAGACTACGTTTACCATTTATTTTAATATTCATTACATATAATTTATCAATATACCACGAGAAGCTGCAATCCATGGTAAGTAAAGACTTTGTTGGTAAACTATCGTATGAGATTTAAACAAGACTCCTGTATTAAGTTTGTGTACCTTGTGTGATTTTCTTCAATCTTCTTCGAAATTCGTACAGACAAAAGAAGCCTTGATAAAAGGTTTCGATTTAGTTTACCAAATAATTAAACTGAAAACGAATATAAGGTGGACATAAATGAAAACCACTTTATACAACTATATACATGTATACGAGTATATAACTGTATGCATGCCGATGGACGAAAATTCCCGTTGGTACCGAAAAAATCGATAGTAACAGACCGTTATTGTCATATCGCGTTTCTGGTCGACACCTCATCGGCTGATTCATTGACTTGTTTGTTTCCTAACTCAAACTACCAAGATGTTATTATACCGCCTAATGTGCATATACTTTAAATCCAATTGTAACGACGTCTGGGTCATCGAACTGTAAAACCACGCACGTGTTCTTTCAAAATAGACTGGTAGCACTCGACAGTTGTTATATTTTCATTGGTTATGTCTATCCCGACTGACTTTAAGCTATGCCTGGTATTCATGTGACATTAAACGTACACAACAGTGAGTGCTAATGTTTGCGACTGAATTCTCTGTGTATTTTGGCAATACCTCTCTCATAGACGAAATTTCTTCAATTTGACTCGTTGCCATGAATGTTGCCCGGAAGAGTGTTGGCCGCCTATAATAATTCATCGAAATAAAAAATGTCATGTCAGAAGACATTCAGAGAGATAAATAATCAATTCATAAAATTTTATCGCGGTGAGTTAACGTTTAACCAGGTATTTGTCCCATTTATCAGACTGTTCATGATAGTTTCGTATGCTTCAAATAAAAAGTCTGTGAAGTGATGCGATGACCGTCGTCGTAATTTAATTATTAATAGCCTCTAGACCAAGTATATGATGTAATGAAGGGAACTTATTTAAAGAAAAAAAAACACTGACGCTTTGGTTGCCAACTGATGTCGTCTGATATGAGACTACAAAGTGTTCACGCCAATCTTAATATGAAGTTCATAAGAACATCTTTAACTTTAAAAATTCCTTATTTAGAATTTAGAGTACACTCTCATAGTAGAGGTTAATGTTTTAGATTGGCTTACGATAAAGATATTATTTCACTACAGATTTAGCTCAATCATGGTATGCCTATGGAATACCATCGCAATTGTAAATCAGTCATTTAGAATTAGGACTGTATTGATGTAACTAACTATATTGGTGGCACTTGCATAAATGTATTGCCGGCCTAAAATATTATTTCAAATAAAACTGTGAAACTCGTTGCAAGATCTCCAGAGAAATAAGTTAACAAAACCTAAAATTTTATTACGGCAAGTTAATGTTTAACCATATACTTATCTCATTTGTCAGACTGTCCATATTAATTCGGTGTGCTTTGGATTAAAGTAAGTAAAGCAATGGGACTAAGTGACGACGTTTCAGTTATTATTACCGACTCAGTCAGTCATTCGAAAGAAAGATTTATTCATTATCACATGCAAACAGGGATCATAGAAAAGTGTTCACGAAGAGCTGAGTTACTAATGATCATTTAACAAAAGCGAAAACCACCAGCACAATTTCATTCAACCGGAACGGCGTTTTATTGCATTTGCTTTCCTGTTGTTGAAATAAAATTTTGGTACAAAAAGTCTGGTAAACCTAGTCATTAGCTAACATTTTGTTGCATCATAATGCTTTTTACATAACATCACGCAAATAATTAGTACAAAAATAATGTGTAATAGATGTTTCCCCGACCTTTGACCCGTGGAAATTCAGTCTACACCTTTCTAATAAAACATTTGTATTGAATTGTTATGAATATTCTTGCAATGTTACACAGACATATTTCAGATAATTTCCTCATATTTCATTGCAGTTCTTCGGCTCTATCTTAGGACAGACAAAAATTTGTGTAACGTCCGCGTCGTGTTGTAAATATATATATATTACATTTTTGTGAATTAGGTGCGTTCCGGTTGTTAAGATTTTTCCAGCTCATCACTGCCTACAACCGATTTAAATTTGGTTCTACGTTTGATTTTCTCAAGACCTCAACTTTTCGCTTTAGTGCATGAAACAACTCACATTCAGTTTATGATACCAGTGATGTCATTTCCATTCGCAATTAAAATATACAATTACAGCTTTCGTTTGGCGCAGCAGCCAAAAGCTAACACACCCGAAGAATTCCTTTGCTAATTTAGTATCCTTTGTGACATCGCGATCTCAAAAAGATGGTGATGTAACAAAGAGTTATGAACACTGAAGCAGTTACGTCAACGACACGAAGTGATTATCTAAATCCTGGGTAATTAATTACTTCGTCTTAGATATTGACTTGTAGTTAATTTGCAGCCGAGAACACACACGATACCGTGTCCGCAGATGTCATCTTCGGGGGCGCAAGTCGTAACCCGGCTTGTTAGGTATTTATTGACGTGTCCGAGGCTAACAATGAGGCTCATTGCGAAAACGCTGTTACGTTATTTGACGTTCCCGTCCAATAGGAAGTTTATGTACAATTGGTCCACCTACTACTGCAACTATGTTATCTATGCTCATATAACTTCTTTGACTATTTCGTGTTCTGCAATGCATAATATGTGCAAAAGTTACTACTTTCACTAGTAAAGATTGGAAACGCGATCACGGCGAAGCCTGTATTTCAAACTGTTCGTTGCTCATCTCACTTTGTAAAGTGACGAGTTTGCATTAATGGGTTCTTTTTATATGTTAACAATATATCCAAGTAACACGGGCGCCATTTGACCCGTGACCGCGGAATAGCAATTAGCACTTTCATAATCTGTCATATGTGTCATATGATTTTAGCATTGAACTCAGACAATCCTCTAAAGCGCGAGAATATGACTTTTGTGTCACTCCTTTTGATAAACCTATTTGGGGATAATATTTCAGTGTTCACTGCAACAAGGGCTGGATTAACCATTTAGCAGAATAAGCACGTGCTTAGGGCACCAAGAAAAATGGGGCACCACAGAAATTTCCATATTCTACTTTCCAGTGGCGACTCAGTGTTTAATAAAATAATTCGAGTTGGTCTGACAACTCATACCTCACTATCGGCTGGTTTAAAATAATTTTTTGCTCATTTTTCGTTCCCAAGTCCTGCAGTATCAGCTTAGACCTGTTTGTAAGCATGAGAACGTGTTCCAAAAAAATATCATGCAAATTCACCATTATTTGGCTATCAATCAGCAATGAATACCGAAACTGCTCATTCAATTTCATATAACATGGAACACTGGTTCAATTATTTGACACGTAGTGGATCGTTTTGTTATTATGTTGTTGCTCTTTGTGTTACATCCTATCGTTATGAAAAAATCGCTTTTCTTTGCAACAACTGGACCAATTGATTTGAAATTTCAGTGGTTGAAGATTGTACTCTTGGCTAGAAGGCTATTGCTTTTATTTATTGTTAAATATTGTAGGAATCCTATGAGATCTGATATTTCATACAAAATTTTGCTGTATTATTTGTTACTCACGGGAACACTGTTTTTAACTTATTTCAAGCGGTTTCGCGATCGAATATCCGGCCTACAGTAGCGTTGAGCACAATCAGGAATCCGGGTCGATTTTTTAAGATCAGGATTGGAGCCGGAGTGTAGTTCTATGCTGTTTTCATGAGTCAATCAAGAGTTTCAGTCGACATTCATTTAAAATTTATTTCAAAATAAAGATTAATTAATCATTAAGATAATTCGTTTGTGTTGATTTTAGCGCTTTCGATTTAGTCTCTCTTCACCGTACTTTGCCCACACTCACTGTGATGTAACCAATCTACTTCGTATTCACTCGTGCTTTGATTGTCCCATAGAAAATCTTTCGTTGCGGACGGAAGATAGAACAGCTAGCCTACCGTGCGTTTTATACAATTAATTTAATCGAGTGTTGATTTTAAGGTACGGTTGGTCTAAAGCAGAAGTCGGCAACCTACGGCCCGCGGGCCAGATCCGGCCCACAACGCTTCACTGGTTATAGCGCCAAACGGCTTCGAAATGAACATTTCGGAACTCGGACCAGTCATCCAGCATGCCGCCTGATGTCAAAAAACTATCAAGCGTGATGCAGCAACAAGTGTCACATTAAATGTCATTTGCATTTTTTTCCCTTTAGACCAGGGGTCACCAACCTTTTCGAGGCCGATGGCTACTTTCTGGGTACAGATCAAGCTGCGGGCTACCAGTTCAATGTACACTTCTGAAAAGTCAGTTTGCTCGATTAAGCTTCAAATATTGATAATTACTGGTATTTAGTCAAGTAGACACTGATAAACTTTAGGATTCCTCAGCAAATCAAACGATTATAACAAGTATCAAATAAATTTCTATCAATAACACTTTCATTTCAAAACTAAATGTTTCCAAATTGATTTTAAAATAATCACTACTTTAATATCCTAGGAAACCACAATGTACCTGGATTATTTACCACCACTCTGCACAAGTCTAAGATAAAAATGGACTTAACAGTTGTACTATCAAATGTTGCAGAGTGTTGTACTCCGACGTGTAACCTGACACTGTGACTATGAGCGAGTCTTGCAGATTTTCATCAGTGAGGCGTGTTCCGTGTTTGTTCCTGTTGGAGTGAGTCGCGGCGGTGTGGACCATCGTGCTAAGCGTTAAGAACGTTAGGTTCGTAGGTTAGAATTCCAAGCGGGTAGGCTATAGTTATGTGCAAGAGATATGCTGGACTCCTCGCCGCCGTTGGGTGGTAACCGCTGGTTACGGCTCCCTTCGCCATCAAGTCCATGCTTCCGAAAACTAATAACTAGCTAATCCCAAACTCGACATGAAATGGTAACCGGACGAGAGGCGTGGTTCGCCATATTGGTAAGC